CTTTCCTTTCCTCTCCTCTCCTCTCCTCTCCTCTCCTCTCCTCTCCTCTCCTCTCCTTCCCCTTCCCTTTCCACAACTTCATATATAAATATAAAATAAGCAAAATCATTCAATCCTTTTCTCTGTGTTTACACAAGCTAATATTGTACTTTGTTTAACTGGAGAATATGCTCAAATACTGAGTAGGAATCAGTGCAACTGCACAACTCACATTAAATATTCCAAAAATACTATACTTGAAATAAGTTCCCCATGCAAATTACAACCGCTTTCAATTATAAACACACACTGTGTGTGAAATGTGCAATTGCCTTAGAGCATAATTGCAAATGTAAATGAATGGTTCACGAGCAGTGTTTATTTAATAAGGTCGCTTGGAGGAAGCGATCCATTGAACTATACAGCAGTGCTACAGTTATTGTAGGTTATAAGACAACAGGAACACATTCCATTTATTTAAAATCTGTTCCCTAGAATAAGTCTCTCAAGATTCCTATCTTATTTTCATTTGTAGCCTTGGGGGTGTATCCATCATCCAATTGTATTCCAGCAGCCTTAACTGCAGAACACTAAAACTATATGAGAGGACAACAATATGGAGCAATCAATCACACCTACTTTTAGAGAGACAATGCTCAAAGTTTTCATGAATTCTCCTCCTATGAAACACTCCAGAAACAACAAAGATGTGCCTGCTCTATCAACTATTCCATTCTGTTCCCCATTTTTGTTTAATTTGGTCTCAAACCTTTGACTAGAAGTCCTTCACTTTTTTGTTTCCTTGGGGAGAACAACTCTTTTCCTCTGCAAAAGTTCATTCCAACTTTTGAAAGTCTATAGGAACTACGATAAATGTCCTGACCAGACATAGGACCTTGAGACATCTGACCATGGGTTTCAGCACCCGCAAAGAGGCATAAGCCTCCCCCTTCTTACTAATTCTAGACTTAAGGAGCCTGTGGTCCTTTTGGAAGCCTCAAATTTCTGTGTAGCTGAGGAATTCCTGAGGATATGGAATGATCAGGCTCTAAACCTAAGCTATTAAATAATGGAAGAACTGTATCCTTAGGTGTCATGGTCCAAAAGGAAGTACATACAGTAGGTCTTCCTCCAAGTTGGAACTATCATGCAAAGGTGATTCATATATACCTTATATGAAACTCATACTTTATTCACCAGGTGAAAAAAATGGAAAGAATGCTTTATAGTAAGCATATTGATTCATCTGTAAGCATACTGATGTAAATTATAAGATCCTGCATTCATTTTAGCTATTTTTGCATTATGAGACTTATCAGTGACATGCACACTGAAGGGCATTCACAGTAAAAAGGAAGTGCATCCCCTGTGGCTGAAAGACAATTTACTGCTGCATTATAAGCAGGTAATGAGGAGGCATCAGCAAGAGTTAGTATGCATCTCAATAGTTTATAGGCGTCTTCTAAATCAGTGTGCATTATATTAGCCTTCCCTAGGCACTTACAATTATCTAGGATAGTGTATAATGTATAACAACAAGGATGGGAATAATACCTAGATATGTGTAAGGGGGTACAAGTAAGCTTCTAACCTCTACAATGCCCACTCATCACACCTGCTCAAATGTGCATTTTAAGTCCTTAATAAGGAGAAATGGAGTGGGGATGGGGGTAGAAAGCCTTCAGGTAACCCTAGAACAAAGACACACAACATTTTCGTTGAAGGCCTTTGAATGACATGCTGGAATTTGTGCTCAAAAGAATGGGTGGGACCTAAATAAATAAAAAGACCAGAACAAAAACTAAATTTATTTAATTTAACTGAAATGTGTCTGTAATGATACTGACTTATTAAAATAAAGGTAGTTTGCTCCCCATGAATTAAGATTCTTTCTCCTTTCATGTTAAGACATAAAATATGGTGGCAACATTTGAGGTGATTCTGGGAGCTTCAGGTTGTGCATCCCTGCTCTAAGAGAAGCCTAAAAATGGAAGCTTTACCAATTTATAACAGTCTGCTGAGGTTAAGACCCTGTTAGATGTTTTCATTTGTAGCACTTGTAGCAACTGTACATATAAAGAAATTGAACTTCACATATTTAAAATTCTACCTTCAGAATTCTATCTTCAGACCCTAAATATATAGCAGACTAAAATTATTTTATTCTGCTATTTAAAGATGGGTACACAGCAGCACATGTTAATAGAAACGGTATTCTATAACACAGGACAGACAAGGCTCCAACTTCTACATTCTAATAGGTTTGTGTATTTCCCAGGAAACAAATATTAACTACTTCCATGACTAATGACTCAAAGCAGTAAGAAAAGAAAAGGAAGAAAAAGGAAGAAAAAGAAACACATGACTGTAAAATTGTTAACCAGTCAATATGAATTAAATATTTCCTCTTTTTCCAAATAGTAAAAGGTAAAGAACAATATCAGATGTCATGGTCATCACCATTTAAAAACTGTAACAGGAACTGGAGGAGCACTGGACCTTGTTTCATAATAATGGGAAATCCAGCAGTGTGCTGGTAAACATTTGCAGAATCTTGCAAGTCTGATTATGGTGTACCTCCTCTTCCTTCTTATACTTCAGTGAATTAGGGAGGTGTTTGCCTGAGACATATCTGAATGTTATCTTGTTGTTGTGGACTTAAAAAGTGCTTCAGCCCCTTTTGCTTAGATAACAGTTCCTACATATCTCTATCAAGGTCATCTTCCCTACTCTGTACAGCTATAAGCAGAACCACTCAAACATCAGTCCTTTAAAAGCAAAGTCATACATAACCAACATCAGATTGGCCCATCATCAGAGAATGATGGATTCCAGAAGATAAGTCATGCAAGCAAACCAAGCTGAATCCAATGCTAGTCCAAGACAGTTTGCTCCTGAGCAAACAACATGGTACCTTTCTCATTCTATGGCATGTAGAAGTCAAGTGATTCATAAATCCTCCATCAGCGCTGCCAGTGGGGCAGTATCCTCCCTCCAGCATCTGAGGACAACAAATCATTTACTCTACTGGACAAACTGTGTGGCACATATAGTTCTGTCCTCCTACATTTTACTACTTCCCTTCCCACCATCTCCTCCTTGAGGCAACCACAAGACTCTACCAAATGTTAGGACTGGACTGGCCAAATGCAGGAAAAGTAAATGGAAGGATAATCAGGCCTAATTAATCCAATTATGAAGAAAAGTCAAAATAGCATAATCTGCCTTTCACATTTACTACACAAACCTGAAAAGCAGAGAAAAACAGTACATACACATACATATATGTTTGCTTACCCAAATCTGTAGCTTAATTCTTTTTTCATTTTTGAAAACTGTTTTCACTTTGAAATCGATCCCAACTGTGCTTACAAAAGCTGAAGTAAAAGAATCGTCAGCATAACGGAACAAGAATGAAGTTTTCCCAACGCTGCTGTTACCAATGATGAGCAGTTTGAACATATAATCAAAGTTCTGATCCGACGTATCCTTTTGGCCATATCGGGTGTCTTGTGCAGATGCCATCTGTAGATTGCAGATGGGGAAAAAGAAAGATTTTTTAAACATTTAAATTTTATGTTTGCTTCCGGTAACTCCAAAGTGCTTATACTTTAACCAAACTTCTCAACACCAGATGCCCAAGTATTTGAGTAGAAAGTGAAGGAGATCTTAAGATATTCCTCATCTCAAATAAGATACTCATAGCAAACATTTCCGTTCCAGAAAACTAGCCGCAACCCCTCCCATCCACAAGGGAGCAAAACTGCAGACACAACTGCTAACTATGTGAAGCTATCCAAATGGTCAAGACCGTGTATAGTCACAGCAATGTTTTTAAACATTCCTAAAACAGCAGCACTGCCATCAAAATCAATTGCCATGAAAAGGAGAACAAATTCTAGCACCTATCCCAAAGAGGATGAAGTGACAAAGCAATTGAAAGGGGGGGGGGGGGGGGATCTCATTGAGCTTTGTGAGTTTTCTTCATTCCATCTTGTCGTGTTATAATCTTCTTGTTGTATCATCAGATTGATATCCTGCCTTCCCCCCAGGAACTCAAGGTGGCATACATAGCATAACCTTTTTTTTTGGACTGACTTTGAGTAATATATTGGGGTAGTATTATAAGAAGTAGGCAAATATGGGACAATTATTTATGTGGCTTTCAATTGGATTTCAACTTCAGTTGGATTACAGCTGCATTTTATTCATTTGTTGCATTCATTATCTTTTGCTTTATATGCCATTCTGTTTCCAAAGACTCTTAAACAGAAATGAATAAATACATAGCACATTATAACTGTTGTTGTTGATACACAGTTAGTAAAGATATGAAATGAGTTCAGAAGGATTTCATGAAGAATTATATTTAGGAAATTGCTATCTTGTGCAAAAAACTGGAAGAATACCTGCCCACTGTTAGATGTTGCTTTCTAATAGATAGCTTCTGAATATTCAGAGTTTTAAATTTATGTAAGTATGTATAAATACATACAATCTGCCAGGATAACAGATTCTGTGTCTCTTAACTTGGCTAGCAGGAAATTCAAAGCATATATTTTGACATGACCTTGCTGAATGTTCAGCTCAGCTTTGGTTAATTCCTGCCACTGCTGAATTTACACTCTAAACATGTGAATTTGTGCTCTGCTGGAAAAAAAAATTACTATTTTTTTTAGGAAAAAAATCCCAATAATTCTCCTTCACTATAAAGGAAATTAATTTGTTTGGATTTTTTTAAAGGCAGAAGAAAATTGTGGTAAGCTTCTGATGGATAGTATGTGGAGTTCTTGTACTTACTGTAAATGTCAGGTGTCCTCCTGTCCTTTATTATTAAATCTTTTCCCTGGTGATCTATATCTTCCCTGGCTTCCCACATTTCAACCAATATTCCCAAGTGAATACGTAATGAAGAAACATCTCCCATGGTGCTTTTTCAGTTCAGGAATATGGGCAGTCAGGGAATTTGCTGAATGATAGAAAAAAATCTAATTCAGGGCACATGCTGTTCTCCTGAAATAATTGGGCAAATGCACCCCCTGCCCCACCCAGGAAAGGTTAAGGAAATTCTAAGACAACCAGCAGATGCAGTAGGGAAAGAAAACTTTCAGAAAATGGGAGAATCAACTTCACCATCCTATGTCTCTGAATCAATGGAATAGTGTGCTTATTTCCTTTAACTCTGAACTAGTAATGAAAAGTTGTCATAAAAGGAATTCTAAAATGTCTTATCCAAGTTGACATTCGGCATTGCTTTTCAAGTATCCATCTGTTTCAGAATCTTCAGTAAATAATCTGATCTCCATTAAGACAAACAAACTGGATTCAATCCAATATGAAATGTCAATCTGACTTGACGATTCAGAAACTTGTTTAAAGCATCGAAGCAGATGGTTTCAGTGTCCTACATCAAATGCATCTGCCTTAATATCAGTTATCCATCTGATATTATACCAGTGAGAACTGGTATAACAATACAAGATAATTTCTTTGCCTTGCACACATGCCAAGAGAGGCTCAAATAGTAGGGGCTGCCATGGCATGGAAGTACAGACTCATAAAAAGAAAAGTATTAGGCTGCTCAGTGGTTTGGATTTAATCCAAAAGGTCTTTGGAGCACATGAGAGTAGCCCTTGCTTACTTGCAAGTCTTTAAAGCAGTTGTATCTTTTAACAGAATCACATGGAATTCTGGAAAAGTTGCAGCTGCTTTAAAGAGCTTCAGTCAGGGACTACATTCATTTTCTAAAGCAGCTTGCTGAAATTGAATCTGAAGCACAGCACAGCTGTAGAAAATACGGTCAGTTGAACAGGCTGGTGGAAATTATGAGTGGGATTTTACAAAACATACTAACTTAAAAACATTCGTATCCTTTCTTTCCTCCATGTAGCTCTAGGAACCATATATTATTCCTTACTCTCATTTTATCTGCATAGCAACCTTGTAAGGTAGGTTGAACTGAATGGACAAAATTGGCTTAAACCTGCCTACACTTAAAACCCAATGAAGATTTGAACGTAGATCTTGTCATTTCTGGTCTGCAGAAAGCCAAAGGTAGAATATTCCTATGGATGTGGGGGTGAATAGTTGATGATGGTATGAAGTGTCCTTTTGTCAGCCTTTAAGCCCAGCCTTTGAGTTTTCTGCTATTGCAATATGAATATTACAACAAAAAGCACAATTTCAAGGTGGTGAATGGGTCTGGATAATTTTCAAGTGCTTTTCAGTCCTTCTAGGTGTAATTGATCC